GAAACTCAAAATTCGGCCCGAAAAAAAAAACGACAGTGGTACCCCTTACGTTTTTTTTTTGGGCGAAAAATTAAGTTTCTCCAATCTTCCCAAAACTCTGGATTCTGATAGAGGGCCATGAGACTTAGACCTGAGTGCAAAAATGGAGGCTCTAGCCCCTTCCAGAGCTGAGATATCGAAACTCAAAAATTCGGCCCGAAAAAAAAAACGACAGTGGTACCCCTTACGTTTTTTTTTTTGGGCGAAAAATTAAGTTTCTCCCAATCTTCCAAACTCTGGATTCTGATAGAGGGCCATGAGACTTAGACCTGAGTGCAAAAATGGAGGCTCTAGCCCCTTCCAGAGCTGAGATATCGAAACTCAAAAATTCGGCCCGAAAAAAAAAACGACAGTGGTACCCCTTACGTTTTTTTTTGGGCGAAAAATTAAGTTTCTCCAATCTTCCAAAACTCTGGATTCTGATAGAGGGCCATGAGACTTAGACCTGAGTGCAAAAATGGAGGCTCTAGACCCTTCCAGAGCTGAGATATCGAAACTCAAAAATTCGGCCCGAAAAAAAAAAACGACAGTGGTACCCCTTACGTTTTTTTTTTTGGCGAAAAATTAAGTTTCTCCAATCTTCCCAAAACTCTGGATTCTGATAGAGGGCCATGAGACTTAGACCTGAGTGCAAAAATGGAGGCTCTAGCCCCTTCCAGAGCTGAGATATCGAAACTCAAAAATTCGGCCCGAAAAAAAAAACGACAGTGGTACCCCTTACGTTTTTTTTTTGGGCGAAAAATTAAGTTTCTCCAATCTTCCCAAAACTCTGGATTCTGATAGAGGGCCATGAGACTTAGACCTGAGTGCAAAAATGGAGGCTCTAGCCCCTTCCAGAGCTGAGATATCGAAACTCAAAAATTCGGCCCGAAAAAAAAAACGACAGTGGTACCCCTTACGTTTTTTTTTGGGGCGAAAAATTAAGTTTCTCCAATCTTCCCAAAACTCTGGATTCTGATAGAGGGCCATGAGACTTAGACCTGAGTGCAAAAATGGAGGCTCTAGCCCCTTCCAGAGCTGAGATATCGAAACTCAAAAATTCGGCCCGAAAAAAAAACGACAGTGGTACCCCTTACGTTTTTTTTTTTGGGCGAAAAATTAAGTTTCTCCAATCTTCCCAAAACTCTGGATTCTGATAGAGGGCCATGAGACTTAGACCTGAGTGCAAAAATGGAGGCTCTAGCCCTTCCAGAGCTGAGATATCGAAACTCAAAAATTCGGCCCGAAAAAAAAACGACAGTGGTACCCCTTACGTTTTTTTTTTTGGGCGAAAAATTAAGTTTCTCCAATCTTCCCAAAACTCTGGATTCTGATAGAGGGCCATGAGACTTAGACCTGAGTGCAAAAATGGAGGCTCTAGCCCCTTCCAGAGCTGAGATATCGAAACTCAAAAATTCGGCCCGAAAAAAAAAACGACAGTGGTACCCCTTACGTTTTTTTTTTGGGCGAAAAATTAAGTTTCTCCAATCTTCCCAAAACTCTGGATTCTGATAGAGGGCCATGAGACTTAGACCTGAGTGCAAAAATGGAGGCTCTAGCCCCTTCCAGAGCTGAGATATCGAAACTCAAAAATTCGGCCCGAAAAAAAAAACGACAGTGGTACCCCTTACGTTTTTTTTTTTTGGGCGAAAAATTAAGTTTCTCCAATCTTCCCAAAACTCTGGATTCTGATAGAGGGCCATGAGACTTAGACCTGAGTGCAAAAATGGAGGCTCTAGCCCCTTCCAGAGCTGAGATATCGAAACTCAAAAATTCGGCCCGAAAAAAAAACGACAGTGGTACCCCTTACGTTTTTTTTTTGGGCGAAAAATTAAGTTTCTCCAATCTTCCAAAACTCTGGATTCTGATAGAGGGCCATGAGACTTAGACCTGAGTGCAAAAATGGAGGCTCTAGCCCCTTCCAGAGCTGAGATATCGAAACTCAAAAATTCGGCCCGAAAAAAAAACGACAGTGGTACCCCTTACGTTTTTTTTTTGGGGCGAAAAATTAAGTTTCTCCAATCTTCCCAAAACTCTGGATTCTGATAGAGGGCCATGAGACTTAGACCTGAGTGCAAAAATGGAGGCTCTAGCCCCTTCCAGAGCTGAGATATCGAAACTCAAAAATTCGGCCCGAAAAAAAAAACGACAGTGGTACCCCTTACGTTTTTTTTTTTTTGGGCGAAAAATTAAGTTTCTCCAATCTTCCAAAACTCTGGATTCTGATAGAGGGCCATGAGACTTAGACCTGAGTGCAAAAATGGAGGCTCTAGCCCCTTCCAGAGCTGAGATATCGAAACTCAAAAATTCGGCCCGAAAAAAAAAACGACAGTGGTACCCCTTACGTTTTTTTTTTTTGGCGAAAAATTAAGTTTCTCCAATCTTCCCAAAACTCTGGATTCTGATAGAGGGCCATGAGACTTAGACCTGAGTGCAAAAATGGAGGCTCTAGCCCCTTCCAGAGCTGAGATATCGAAACTCAAAAATTCGGCCCGAAAAAAAAACGACAGTGGTACCCCTTACGTTTTTTTTTTTTGGGCGAAAAATTAAGTTTCTCCAATCTTCCCAAAACTCTGGATTCTGATAGAGGGCCATGAGACAGAGCTGCTGCAGAACAAACCAATGGACGGGCATTTAAATATTGTAGGGGGGCCCAAAAAATGACATCCAATACATTTTTTTTAGGACAAAAACAAACTATTACGCCGATTTCAAGTAGAGGCGTAATTTGCGGTGGGATATGTCCCCACCGTCGATATTGTACCCACCACTTTGAAACATTCCGGCACGAATGTACAATACAAATAAACAAAACATCTTCAGTTAACTAGCAGAGCATTCGTTTCGTTCTTTTTTAAATAAGAGACGATCTAGCGCTGAAATGTGTTTTTAAAATCAACTGTTCAAATTAATGCTCGTTGCCGCTGGCGCGGATAGGCTAATGTGTTTTTTTTTCTGGCTTGCGCACAGTCTTCACTCGGACGCGCAATCCGTTGTGGAGAGACTCTATTCATTACGGTGAAATTAAAACACAAAATGTTCTGAAGATGTTTTGTCTGTGCCTGATATACAACCACTGATAAACATAATCAGTTTTGATGGAAAAAATTTTTTTATTAGAACGGATTAGAACCCAGAATCTCTGGCTTGCTTGGCAAAAGTTCTACCCCTGGACCATTATTTACATTCACGTTTAATACAAATATAAAGGCGTAATTGAACGACCACATAAACCTAAATCAATAACTATTTAAATCGATTAAAGGATATCGTAATGTTATTGTACATATCTGTTTTATGATTTAGCATTGTGTCAGGGCTGGTGCAACTTTAAGAAGAGTAATAAAAATAACTGGCCCACTCATGTTCTTAATACAGCTGAAGTCGACGTTTTTGGGAGTGGAATCTCCGCATGAGTTATTCAATACATTATTTTTATTTTTAAAATAAATTTCTTTTTAAAATTTATTAATTGCAAATTGCATGGAGAGGGGGGCACAGGCGCTCGGTAGGCGGGCCCGGCCCCCTAAGGCCCGCCCATAGCGCCGGGTATGAGTATGCGCACTCCGTGCTTACGTATACAGAACACGGTGTTTCAGGAAACTGAAGGGAAAGGCTCTCTCAAAGCAGACGTTGTCCCTCTGGATAGTGGACGCCATTGCTTTGGCTTACCAGCAGCAAGGCCCCTAGGTGTGACGGCACACTCCAACCAGAGTGTGGCTTCTTCTTGGGCTCTAGCGTATGGCGCCTCGCTGGCAGACATATGCAGAGCTGCAGGCTGGGCAACAGCTAACTCATTCACCAGATTCTATAATCTCCAAGTGGAGCCTGTGTCCTCTCGCGTACTCGCTTCAACCAGCTAGTACTGGACCCGCTCAGGTGTCTTCGCTTGCTTGCCATTCCACTCCATGGACTGGATACGTGCAATATTCTCCTCAGGTGAGCCTTCCTGTCTGAAGCAATGAGTTCCTCCAGCACTGTTGACGCTGGCACCAGTGTCTATGGCCTGCGTGTGTCTTGGTGCCTCCGTGTGCATGGTTCCTCCTCTGAGCAACCCCTACGTGTATTTCTACTGTAAGCCTCCTTGAGCATGTGTCTTTCCCTTGGCAAGCCACCTTGCCACTCTTGGAGTTGAAAGTTGCCACCCCACGGGCTGGATACTTTAGTGTTCTTCCATATGAAGCCCCCCATATTGGGCCATATGTGTATAAGTCCTCCCTACGGGTAGGCATATTTCCTCTGAGATATGTGTAAACGAGACTTCAAGAGATTTCCACGACGCATGCTCGAGAATTGCGATCTCCTTCAACTACTTCAGTTCAGTTCTCGCGCATGCGTCGTGGAAATCGTATGGAAGTCTCGTTTCAGGCCAACAAGGAAGAAAAGGAATAGTCGAATAAAGTCCTTATTTTTGTTTGTTTTTTTGCACAAAAAGTACTCTCGTCACTTGATAAACTTATAGTTGAGCCACGGTAGTCACATGGAATATTTAAACATTTTCTTCATTGACTTTCTGGGCCGTCAAGAGCCAGTCCCTTAGGAGCCTATGTGGGAGTTATACAGCTCTCAAATTAATTCAAAAATATCTTCATTTGTGTTACGAAGATAAACGAAGGTCTTACGGGGTTGGTACAGCATGGGGGTGAGTAATTAATGACTTAATTTTCATTTTTGGGTGAACTAACCCTTTAAATACCCATGCGGTGGGGCGGAGATACGCTATGCAAATTCCACAGACCCATGGCATTTCATCGCCATTGTCTCGTTTTATAATATTTGAAGATGACAGGCTTTCTAAACGAAACCCCATTCTCGTCATCCGACGTAACATCTCCGTTCCCTACTCAGGGAACGAGGGTTACATACGTAACCGAGACGTTTGTCTAGGCTATATCAATAGGCCTATAACCAATCACTTGTTGTGAATAATAGAAAGCCCCACAAACCATTACCAAGAGGAAATAAATAATGACTCACTGGACTATTCTTACCATTTTATTTGTAACAAATAAAATTTTTCCAATACAATTGTATTCTCACACAGCTGTCCTTACAACATAAAGTAGGAAATTAAAAAAGAAAACGTCCTCTGAAATATTTACATTTACTACAAAATCAGAGGTAAAAGATTTCCCTTTCGTGTTTCACATTACTTGATGGGTGAAATTGTAAAACCACTCACAACATTTGACAATATGAAAATTGTGATACAATGCATATTTGGTCAGATTACATGATATAGATTGTGCTAGTTTATTTTTCACATGAAACAATGTCATGATTCATCAAAATCAGATGGTGCCTTCATATTGTACAAATGGGGACTGTCATGCACTGGAAAATAGATGAATTTATTTTTTTTTATTTTTTTGACATTAGCAGATAATGTCCCATTACACAAACGCTAATTTATATCCTCTTGAAAAAATAAGCATAGCTAGTTTCAACAAAAGTTGAAAGTTGAAAAAACCCTGAAACTTGGTTGTGATATTAATATGCTGTAAGGTGTAACAATATGGAGAAGGTAGATTTGCAAGATAGATTTTCAAATACAAAACTAACTCAACTCTGGTTAAAAAAAAAAGTACTCAAAGACAAAGATGTTGCAAAGAAAGAAACATTTCCTTACACCGAAAGTAAAATGAGCTGAAGTTCGCAGTGACCAGACTTCCTTGGGAATTACTGAATGATGACTATTAGAAGAAAAATCACTCATTTTATACCACCCTGTCATCTAAAGTATTCAACAATAACATTATGCGCATATTGTCTTAAGCTTTGTAACCAAAACTTATTTTTCTCTTTACATGCACACACTGTGAGCAACACTGTGAAATTAATCTCGTTCAATACAAATAACATTCTGTGTTGAAGAAATAGTAAGGGTTAGTGCATAGAACAAGAGTGCAGTCATTTCCAAACCCATAACCAGACCGTCATAGGCCATGACACTCATATAGAGACGTCAGGGTCATTTTTATGTTGTAGCTCTAATTTGTCATGCATTGATGTTTTAATAATCAAATTTTAGACATCAAACTTACACTGAACATGTTTCAATTTCATTTAGTTTGAAGCAAGTAGCTCTGCTTTTCGAATGAGTCCTCACCGGCAAGAAAAAGTCATATCCTCTTTTTGTTGATGTTGACACACCAACATCATTGATGCTTTCAAACATATGTGAAGATGATGACACCTCACAACACTGATAAACAAGAAAGCAGACATTAACCGTTAAAACTGAAAGTTTCCTGCAGCGGTATGGACTGAAACTGCGGAAAACTTTACTGAATTATAATTTCAAATGCAAATCATTTATAATGTAATAGCTATTATATATGTAATGGAATATGCAATTCTCTTGGCCCAATATAGATGCAATAAACGTGTGCCCTCTCAAAAATGGACACATATTGGCTTTCAATAATATAATTGTCTAGTCTTCTTGGCAGTACTTCACCTCAATGAATAAACCGCACTGATACTTCAAGTTGGTCTGTGTGTGAAATATATCATATATTAAAATTTACTCGGGTGGATATGACTGTATTTAATTCTGTTTTATATATATATATATATATATATATTGTTTTATATGTGTTTTTTAAAGATAAAAGCAGGTTCATATCCATAAATATTGAACATATAACCATTTTAAACATGTGACTATGATAAGGCACTACCAGTGTCAAATGATCCATTATGTTATTGTTTTGAACACATCAACTCATGTTTAGAGAGTTAAGCTTCAACATTTGAACTTCCAAACCTGATCGAAAGCATCTCAATAATTATTTTGGTAATAGTTTAGTGGAAAAAAAAAAAAAAAAAAACTTTAAAATTTTACTGCAGTCAATACTTTTCTTAACTTGTGTGCATTGACAAGAACCTCACTCACATAGTATAAATATCACTCAATACATTGACAGTTTATATATATATTTATATATATATAGCTAATATGCGTAATAACAAATTTGTTTTATACTTTACATTGTATAGGATTAATGAGACAATATAATTACAGTGACAATATCGCTAATACTTGAGTGGTTTAAAACTTGAAGGTGCCATCACGTTCAATATTGCACAGTTTTTGAGACAAATCTCCATTTTCAGCTTGTGTTATTTCTTCTTGTCTTAAATCTGTGATAGATATGTACGTATATATCTATGTGTGTGTGCTACAGATAAACGAACAGGTTACTGGCATAAGCACCAATACTTAGGGGTTCTTTTGAACTTCATTTTGTCTCTATCACTTCAACAAGTGAGTTGGTGGATCCACTATACAACTGGTGACAAAAAAAAAAAAAAATAGTGGAAACGCTAAACCCGGACTGCATCACCTTACTTTTTTTTTTTTTGTTAAACAAATTATGACACATAAGAAGTACCATCAAATTGTTGATTATTGTCGTCTCCCACAGTCTCATTGGTCTGTTGAATTGGTCCAGACGGCACATGGATGGTTTCAGGAGATTTCATTGGATGTGTTGGCCTGTTAGCTGTAATGCCAAATCTGCACTCAACCCCCGAATATGACTTGACAACTTTCAGCTAAATGATTACAGCAACAATTTGTTGTGACAATTCTGTATCTCAGCTGCCCTCCCTGACTGGCTGTTAAAACGTGTGCTGTCTAGAGAACTCAAACAGACTCTGGAGCTGTGGGCAACACAAAGAGGCAGTCAGATTGATCAGACGCAGGTCTCGGTGGGTGATGACGTGGCTCTTGGTCCAGGGGAAGGTTTTAGGTTGCATAGTGATCAAAACTGCCCAGGTATTCCAGCGCAGCTCGATAGCAGAACTGGTACTGTTCCTGTGAAGGGCAAACACACACACACACACACACACACACACACACACATCATTTGATCCGAATCTCAGAGCTGATCAGTATACTACTGCAATGTTACTACTTTTACACTTCCAAGATAAAAGTAAAATGGAGAGTAATATAAACTTTGTATATTATTTTGTGTAAAATATTCAGTAACAATTGTGAGATATGAAGTCATTATTAAGAGTAATAGAGTCACAATTGTAAGAAATTATCAATTATGTCATATGAAGTCACAATGAGAAATAAAGTCATAATTATAAGAAAAAATGTTGTAATTATGAGATATAAAAATCAGTTACTAGAAAGTCACAGTTGAGGAATATAAAGTCATAATAATGAGTGATATTTTTGAGCTTATTTTTGATATTTTTGAGATAATTATGAGCTACAAAGTCACAATAACAAAAAAAATGTCTAATAATTGTTTTTTGTTTCTTGAATAACAATAGTCACAAATAATCACAAGTAATAAAGCACAAATGTGAGAAATAAAGTCACAATTGTAAGAACTAAAGTCAACTACTAAATAAAGGAGATTATGAGGAGAAAGTTGCATTTATGATACATTAAGTCAAAATTATAAGAAAAGTCATGTGTGAGATATAAAGTCACAATAGTAAGAAATAAAATAAATCATGGCATAGAAAGTCACAATAATGAAAAAAAAAAAAACATGATGTCATCGCTTGAGCCAATGTTTCTAAATGGAGCAAATAGAGCTTTTAGGGAGAGTCAACCAACAACTGCATGTTAAGCTACGACAGGAAAAGGTATTTTAACATCAACAGAATTTTTCAGCGGTTTTAAAAGTGATGAACTCTTACTAGTCTAAAGAAATGATGGAATTATGGGTAGAAAGACATCAGTACTGCATGATATGGGTTGCAGGACACATTCTCACCTCTGTCTGCACCATGGCTGGTCTTTGAGTACGCAACATTTTGACAGTCTGGAAGATGTCGACCACTCCCTCGTAACGCATCCTCTCCAATACTATACTCAGAGTGATAAATACACCTGTCCTGCCAACGCCAGCACTGCACACGCACATCCCAGAACATGTGAGAATTCATTTTAGTTCACAACTCTTTGTAAGACTTGAATCATGACATTTTGCGGTTAAATATGAACTGTAAGCAAATAATGAAGTGATTTGACTCAAATCTAGTGTATATATTTTATATTTGGTAGGTATCCTTGCAAAAAGATTTAAAAAAAATGAAGTCAGCCAAAATAACCACTGAACACATAATAAAAAAAGGAATAAAATACATCCTAAATTATTTAGGATTTATTTTCCTCACCTGCAATGTACTGAGATCGGCCCATCCTGACCAAACTGCTCTTTTGTTTTGTGCACTTGACCGATGAAATCAATGAAGCCTTCACCAGATTTTGGCACACCCTGCTCTGGCCAATCCGTGAACTGAAACTGCCGGACCGTTCTGGATTGACCGTCCTAGAAGAGAGACACACCAGTGAGAGACAGACAGACAGCACCAGCATTTCAACCAGGGTTCTGTGTGGAGAAGTTTTATAAAACATATAACATTTTCATGACATTTCTAACTAATAAATAATTTGCCAGCTGACTTTTAAGCATTATATATAGTAGTAATGTTAGTTAATGTTCCAAATTAAAGTTTCATAAAGTGTAATCGAGAAAACCTAGCTTTTTTATTCTGGGAGTCTCTGGTCTGTAAAAGTTGGAAATCCCAATGCTAATAATTTATGCAGACCAATCGATCTGACTGAATCGTTCAAAAGAACCAACTCACACCATGTAAAGGATTTATATAATACACACACAAATATATATATATATATATAAAGAACCAACTCAAAGCATCAGACAGCACTAATGCAAGTTTCACACAAAAGCAATACAAGCCATTTAACTCTTTCTCCACTATTGAAGAGATTTTCCATTATTTATGATATAATGCCGAATGAATTCCACAGCCGAATCACCCATCCATCCATTTTCCAAACCACTGGTCCAATGTGGCTACGATTGTTTATTTAAGGTTTACACATATCTTTTCATCTTACTGGAGCTGCCAGTTTGCTAAAGTTTCAAATAATTATTAAACAGCAAGCACAAACTACGCAAAAGCAGCAGCCCTTCCGAATTCACTCACTCCTTCAAGTGGACTACATTAGTGGACTACTGTAGGGAATAGTGAATGAGTGTATAATGGGCGATTTCAGACACAGCACAGAAGAATCGGATAAAAGTTGCTTATGCACAAGAAAGCTAATATGATCATTAAATATTCAACAGCATATAAAATCAAAACTGCCAAACGTAACAGAGAAAAATGTCGATCCCACAAAAAGGTATAGGACTGTGAATCTTTGGGGGTGTTGATGGTCTCAGTCTACTCTATCTATGTTTAGATCATCGTTCTAAATCTGATCTGGGTGAAGTCTTTGAGAAAAACAAGATTTTCTCAGCTTTTTGTTTTGTTGTTTGTGGTCTTGATAAAAAAGAATAAATGAAGCTAGAATAAAATGGGTCTTTAAAAACAGAGACTCAATTCTTTCTTTTGATATATTAACTTTTTACATATTCATAAAACAAAATATTCTGGGGGCCATGAAATTGTGTGATCAAAAATGCTGGCGCTAGTTGGCAACTTTTTCAGTAAACGCTGGTGGGGTAAGAGTTACGAATATTTGACTGGTCAGGTATTACATCACAATAGGCAAATGTATATTCACTCTACAAGTTTCCATGATATTTTAATGAGTGTTTGACCTACCCTTGCGTCTGTGACTTTAAACTCTCTGAGTATATACTGAGGCATGTTGTACTCCGCCATGGGATCCACCACAAAATACTGATACCGTGCTGACCTGTCAGATGGCCAATACTGATGACATTTCTCCTGCATAAGAAAGACGTTCACCCATTAGCTTCTATTACCGTTTACCTGAAACTAAATATATTAAAAACATTTTTGTCAAATGAAATGCTAAAACAAGATATAAATGTTAGATGAAAAATGTAAATCAAATGATGATTAGAAATGTTGCTAACTGGAATTAGTTGATGAAGCACAATAATACTGAAATCTGAAAACTGAAAAATGTATTAAACCTAAATAGTAATATTTTAGAAGAAAAAAAAAAACGAATGAAAATGACAAAAGCACAAAATCAAAACTAAAACCTATAAAAAAAATGCTAATTCAAAGTATATGAATAAACAATACTAGAATAACACTGATTAGCATCAACAGGGATGCTAATCCCACCTCTACATCAAGGATGACAACTATAAGTATAAAGATAAAGTTCTAAAAATCGTCCACACCACAAATATAACAATAACTGCACAAAGAAATGATATTGTAGGTATTACATTCAAAAAATGTTTTTTTTTTTTTCCCAGCTGATGAATGAATATTGACAGCCAATCAGAATCCATCCTGCTTTAAAGAGAAGAATGATATCACCCGCTGGTGTGGACACTAATATAGTTATCGTTCTTGATCAGCATCTAAACACTATTGACGTGTGTGTATGTGTGAACTAACCCTTCCCATTTCTCTGAGTTTAGTTAGCATAACTACTATAGTAGAATTGTGTTCCCAAAGCATCCGCCAGAAATCTTCAACAGTCTCTGCCAGTGGCCCCTGAGTCCCAATATACGCTCTCTGTTGCCTAGAGAGCATGAGAAAGAAATTAAAGCTTCAAAAATGGAGAATTTCACCAGCAAATGTTGATGTGTCAGTGGTTTTTTTTTGAAGTTGTGTTTATTTGTTCCAGTAAATATAAAGAGTTCACAATGTACCTGTAGCCATCTATAAAACTGCCATTGACATAGTCTGAGCCCTCCACTCCTCTGATTGGCTGCAGACACACACGTGTGGTTTCATATGGCATGATATTGACCAGTCGGTTTTTGAACTTATTGCATGGAAGGCTGGCACTGACGAATCTGGAGTTATGCGCTTTGGCATTAGCTAACCGCTGAAATGGAGATACAGAAAAAAGAAATAAGCAAAACAATTTTCTTAATTTTATGAACAATAAAAAGCAATGTACAACTGCCGGGAACAAGAAAAAATATACACTGAACAAAATTATAAATGCAACACTTTTGTTTTTGCCCCCATTTTTCATGAGCTGAACTCTCTTAATTGCACAGGTGTGCCTTAGGCTGGCCACAATAAAAAGACCCCCCATCCCCCGTTCACACACCCGCATAAATACGCCGTCGAGTGCCATCATATCTATGCCAAACCTATTGGTGGCAGTGTAGGGGTTAAGGATAAAGCCATGTAAGCCGATCAGAATCCTCAGAATCGACAAGAGAGAACCTAAAACAACGTTTCTCCCAGTTCACACGACAACACATAACCGGCGTTTTCCGAAATCTCCACTTTGGCCGTAATTTTTTGAAATAATCGTTTTCTGTGATAAAATCTGGGTTTTCGTGTAAACGAGAGGCCAAACCACAGGGAAATATTTGCGTTTTCCCTTAGACAGATTTGTAAACAATATTTGAGAGAAATACACCTTTTGTGTACATTGAAAAAGTCTTAGAACTTTGAGTTCAGCTCATGATTGTTTAATTTAATTCCCAATTATGTCACTGTTCCCTTCAAATTCACGAATTACATTGGTGGGATGAACTCACTTTAAATTCCTGCTCCATTCCGCTGATGTGCTCTGGCGGTTCTGTCTGTGACAGTCTCTGGATGTAGGCGTAAAGGTTTCGTGCCGGTACCTCTGTGTTGCCGCAGGAAACGGCCTCCAGCAGCGCATCATAAATAAAGATGTACTGCTCCTCTGTCTGCACCATGTAGTTTCGCTGAGATCGCATCAGAGTCACGTGACCATAAACATCTATCGTCTTCTCCTGCTTCACACGTTCCAACATGGCATCTATCACAATGAAGCAGCCCGTTCGGCCAACACCAGCACTGAGAAAGAGAGAGAGAGAAAATGCTTCTGTCACAAGCACTCACAATAGTGCATTCTGATTTAAAGGTTGTATGAAAAAGTATTTGTGATTGTCTCCCGCTTAATAATTAATAATATCATAAAAACATTCATATTAGATGAGGGAAGCCTGAGAAAACTTTTTAAATTATATTTTTTTAATAAATGTATATTATATTTTTCAATCATTATTTATTTATTTTTCCCTTGCTTTCTTCTTTTCCCATGTATTTTCCCCTCGATTGTTGTAAGTGCCTGCTTTGTTCACTCTTGGTTAATAAAAATAAAAATATTTTATTTATGTTTATTTCAATTTACATAATGACCAACGCAATATACCAAGAGCAATGCAAATTAGCGTCTGGTTTAAGACGTGCTTTTTTGGGGGGATGACGCAAATCAAGAGTAGCGTCAGTTCTGGCAGGTCAGGTTAGTCAAGCTCGCATCAGCTGATCCACGTCTACCTATTAGGAATATGACGCCAATCACTGTATACATATATAGACCATTTCACAAGATGTAAACAACACTGGTCCAGAAACACTTCCTGTTTCAGTTTGTAACTCTTTTCTTTATTTTACATGTAAAGAAAACATCTTAAAGATGCTTGTTTAACTTTCAGATTCAGTTTTAAATGTTATGTTGGTTGTATCTTTTATGTAGTGTTAAAAAACTGAAACAGGAAGTGCTTCTGGACCAGTGTTGTTTACATCTTTTGAAAAGCTCCTCCTCTCGCCCAGTCAGGATTTGGCATTCTGATTACCCCTTGAATCAGAATAAATTCTCGAATTATGTTGAACTTTAAAATCTTGAATTAATGATATCTGCATTTCATGTTAGTTCTGTTATATTTACTGTACTGTTACAAATTTATTAAAATGTTACATTTAGATTCTAATACAACAGTATTTTATATTGAGTAAGTTCATAAATGATGAGATCAGGAAATCTCAGGAAACGGTAGGGGTTCCCAACCGGATATTTGTGGGCCTGGTTGCTAAAAGATTTATGAACAAATAATACAATTTTAAAATCAATTCTGAACTGGACTAGTAACCAGTGTAGAGAGTATAGGATTGGGGTGATGTGATCTTGTTTTAGGCTGCCAGTAAGCAGATGGGCAGCCACATTTTGAACCATCTGGAGACAAGAGATAGAAGAGAGAGGTAGCCCGACATATAATGAATTACAATAGTCAATTTGTGTTGAGTTAAATGTGTGAATAATTGTTTCAAAGCTATTTCTGTTTAAAAAAGGCTTGACTTTGGCTAATCGGCGTAAATGTTTAAAACTGTGGCATTCATTTGTTTGTTCAGTTTAAGACTACTGTCGAGGTAAAATCCTAAGTTTTTAAACTAAGGAAGTGAGGTATGGTATGATGGTACCAAGATCGGTACAATGTCTGTCCAAATTAGATGATTTGGATTTTGTTGTCATTTAGCAACATGAAGTTGTTAGTGAGCCACAGCTTAAGTTCGTGAAGACAGTCTTGTAGGCTCTTACATCTAGTGTTATTGTTATGTTTTATACATATATAGAGTTGGGTGTCATCCGCATAACAGTGTTATGACACACCAAGTCTATTCATAATTGATCCCAAAAGGGAGCATGTAGAGTGAGAATAGTAGGGGTGCCAGAATCGATCCCTGAGGTACCCCCCAATTTAGGTGAGTTGCAGAAGATAGATGAGTATCTAATCTAATAGAAAAACTTCTGGTTGATAGGAAAGACTGGAACAATTTGAGTGCCATACCTGAGATTACGATCGAACATTCTAGCCGAGATAGGAGAATATTGTGAGCTACAAAGTCAAAAGCTGAACTCAAATCTAATAGCACTAAAGCCATGGTATCGCCAGCATCTGTCGTTATGAAAATGTCATTACAAATTTTTAAAAGAGCAGACTCAGTGGACCATACCGCCAATCATAACTGTATGCTAATTGTCAATCGTATTTGACGATAGTGGACCTGACAGGAATATCAGTAAGTTGACTAAAGCAAACCTTGCAAATCATCTTGAGTGATTCATGTAAATACTCTTCAATTTTGCGTCTGAAAGAGAAACTGCAAAAATAACCCTGTCCACGGCTTTTCAGCGCTAATTGTTTCACTGCACGTCTTTGGTAAATCCTAACAGTAGTTTTTAACGCCAAAAGAGGGTTTGAGCTGGCGCAAGCTGTAAGTAAATCTGGTACTTGGTACTCTTGTATTCTGACATGTAATTTTATGTAATCTACATTTTTCTCGTGTCAGTTAATTTGTAAAAAAAAAAAAAAAAAACGCATCAATGTATATAGTAAAGTTCCTTTGTTGTGTTCAAGCAAAATTAAAATAAAAACTCATATTCCACAAAAAGCATTCAGTGCATTGACATTTTGTAAATAGTCAATAAAATTTAGGCCAATGATTTGAGAAAAAAAAAGACGTATAAATAGTTTCTCAGAATCATACCCTGCATGTCTGACTGGATATAAATATGTTTGTTTAATTCTGTACTAGTTACCTGCAGTGGACTGCAATGGGTCCGGCATCTGGGGGGTTGCAGGCTTTTACCCGTCTGAGGAAAGCCAGGAAAGGAGTGGGATGTTCAGGAACCCCTTGATCTGGCCATGCTGTAAACTGGAACTGACGAACCTCCCTTTTCTCACCACTCCCACTCTGCACGCAGAAACAACACAATTCAGTACGGATACTTCTAGAATAGAATAATGCAATAAGTCCATTTATAAATGTACAAATCATCACATACAACATAATCTCATCCAAACTACTCATTCAATCAGCAGCAAGCCGCAACAAAATTAGTTCAATCTTATTTTATTCAACATATTTCCCATCAAGCGTGTATGGTTTTAACAGTGACAAACTAAAAAAAACTTTACAGGATGACTTCTGAATAATCAACATAATAATTGAAACAGTTGACAAATACAACAACAGCATAAATAAAAGCTGCACAAAGCAGTAATCTGCATCATTTATTCATGCATTGCTCTGAATTTGAATACCGTTTTATCACGTTTTATCCTCAGATTCCATAGCTTGCTCAAAAATTCCTGAACTAAGCAGAAAAATAAGCTAGTGTTTGGTGAACTTGCAGTACTTTTGCAAGATTTTATCAAGAACAATATGGAGAAGAAACTCAGACATTGGCGAAGAGATGATGATGTCAGAGCGCATTTCATCTGCAAAATGTGTTGTGTTTCTATACAATATATAGGTTTTGTTTCAATTATTTATTTAATGGATTTTGTACCTGAATGGTTTGACTAATGTATTCACTTTTGAGCATTTTCAAAGTTTCATTACTCGTCTAGGGTTCCACAAACCAACAGGTCGACCGTGCCATAAGGTTTGTGAGGTGATGAAGTGTTGGTATACTGTGTTTATGCGCTGATCACTGGTGTTTTGTTACCTTAAACAGGGCAAAAGTCCTGACGCAGTAGGTCGCAAGCTCCACCGTGTCCAGTAACGAGACTTGCATGAGTCCGTATGTCTCTGTGCCTCTGCTGGGCCAGTACTGATCACACTTATTCTGCACACAGTTCAGCAGACACTTAGTTAACCTCTCACAGCTGCATATGTCTCAATGTTAAAGGAAACATTAGAGGAGAGCAAAAGAACCAGCTGAGATAAACTGGCTGGCTTCAGCCTGGCTGCTTTCCATCAATAACAGTACTCACTATGGCTATGTGTCAGTCTGCTCACTAGTTCAATAATAGTATACTACATTGAACAGTTCACTCCCTAGAAATTAAAAGAATGCCCCTTTAACTCGTTTCATTTTTATTCATTCCCATCAAAGGGAACTAGGGAATGGACTGAAACACACCCGTTGTGAGTACATTTTGGCATGCAGTGATAGTGTGATAATCAGCCAAAAATATCAAGTTACACTTTGTGACTTGTGGCAAAATGTGTCTCTGAAGTCAACAGGAAAGAGGAAGTGAGAAGAGACAGATCAGAAGAAGAGAGAGTAGGTGTAAATAAAGGATGAAGCAGAGATAGGAGTAAGAGGTGTGACACGAAATATCAACCATTCAAGTGAAAAGTGAGAGTGGTCTAATTAGCCAAGTGAGACGTCTTGCCTTTGAGAAGAAATACGAAGGCATCTGGAGAGTAACAAACAAACATCATAAGACTTACTTTGCTCCGTAACACCACACAAGATTCACTGAGAAATACGCAAAATATCAATGCTGTGTTTGATTAAACATGGTTAGTTAGGTTAGTATGTACAGTAGTAAGTATGTGTGTGTGTGAGTTTGATTAAGTGTTCAATCTCTCAGTAGTTCTGTTCCAAAATCTAGTCAGCTGCCTACCTTGATCCTGATCCTGATGCAAAGACTGTTTCAGATTTTAGTCAAACAGTTTTTAGTTAGTTTAATGTATTGGTGGGCTGAATAAATGGCCATAGCTTCTGAAAATCTGTTACATTCCTGATAAAAATGTGATTTTGACAAGCATTTAGCTTACTGTTAAAACTTTACGTTCTGCAGTTAGTGTTTGCAAATACACTAAAAATAAATTAATACTTTTATTCAGGAGGAATGCAGCATTACATTTATCAAAAGTGACAGTAAAGACATTTATAATATAATTGAAAATAAATATTTAAAATATATGTAAAAATATTTTTAATATTTTTGTTATACTTAAAATAAATGTAAAAAAATATTAAGCAGTACAACTGTTGATAATAATAATAATAATAATAAATAATAATAAGCATTAATAATAATAATAACAAGAAATGTTTCATGATCAGCATATTAGAATGATTTCTGAACTGAAGACTGAAGTAATGACGCTATATGAAGTGATGATGGAATAAAATGCATTTCAAAATATATTAAATTAGAAAATAGTTATTTTTAATTGAAATAACAGCTGGGTACAATCATACTGACCCCACATATTTGAATGATTGTTCTGTAAGATATAAGATGCACTACTACAGTTTACTCATTGTGAATAGAGCTAAATACAGCATTGCAGATATCCTTTACAGGATCCATTGCAAAAAGGTCAAATCAAAAAGGTGAAGGTGAATTATATTGATAATTGTGTGTGCAGTATGTTTGTGCTTATTAGACCATGTTGTTGTTAGCTTAGCAACATGCTAACAAGAGGAGTGCTTTGAGCTGCTGCTAATGTTCTAGTTCTAATCAAAGTGTGAGTGTGCTTTTTCTTTTTTTAGTCAAGATTATACCTATATAGGGGTAGTAGGGACAGCAAGGATTTATGCTAGGTTTTGGAACTGAGTTTGTGTATGTATAATTTAGTGCTCTCACCCTGGATTTCTCCTCAAGTTTGGTGATCATGATGATATTTGCTGTGTGTTGTTCCCACACCATTCTCCAGAAATCACTAAACGTGTCTGGCATGGGGCCCTGGGTGGCGATGTAAGCGCCCTGTCGGCGGTACCCGTCTATGAAGTTGGCATTAATGTAGTCACCACCAGGAACACCTGCATAACAAGATTGGATGGGAAAAAACAAAATCACATTCAACCTAACAAGAGACAAAAAAAATCGAAAATGCCTTTCATAAATTTTAATGGGTGTAGTTAAATGAGAGATATAATACAATTCCATCCATGGTGTTTCAGATCTAATTTTTAAAAATATTTATTATACTATTAACTGGAAAATGACAACAGGATTTAAAAAAAAATCTATCAACTTGTCAGTGACGATTTAGATCGTGGACAAAGTATCAGCATTATTTTACTATTATTTATGTGCAATCATATTAGTTATTAATATTTTAAATTAATTTTAATTTTATGTTTTCAGTTATATTCGTTTTAGTTTAAGGTTTATTAAATTTGTTAGGTGCTTTTTTTACTTTTAATTAGTTTTTTATATTTCGTTTTCATTTTCATTCTTTTTATTTCAATTTTAGTGATATATTTATTTCAGTAAGGTGCAAAAGTTGGCAAAATCTGCAATTTCTAATTAAATTATCTTCTCTGATATTTATATTTTATTTGACTTTTTATTTGACTTCAGCTTCATTTAGTTTACTCAAAATGACTTTTACTGTACCAAAACTGGTACAGTATGTGACAATTTAGAGATAACAAAAAGCAATGGTGTTAGTTGCCATGTGAACAGGTAATAGCTTTAAGTTGATTTCCAATGTTAATGCTCCTAATGAATACACAGAGAAACAGCAATATTTAGCACACACACACACTCACCATCATTGTTGGAGAGTGATACTCTGGTGTGGTCGTAGGCAATGACGTTGGCATATCTGTTCTTTGACTTGTTAATCTCAAGGTTAGACTGTTCCCATGAGAACTGTTGCCCTGGATCAATAGACTACAAGAGAGAAGCACGCCATGAATTACACATCACGCTGGACAAGCCCCATATTGTACTTGACGTTACAAACATCACATGGCCTGTGCAATGACGTTAGTGCTCATACACAAAAAAAAGTACATGAAAAAGAACTTAAAGCACGCTATAGCATGCAGAAATGTGGTGCTAATGTACATCATTGGCAAATATGTTTTTAATGTACATCCGCAGGGTGCGAATGTATGTGTGTGTGAGAGAGAGATCTGACCTCATACTCTTGAGAGAACCTCAGGTTGTCATTAGCTTTCATCCTCTCTATGTGAGTGGGCAGTTCTGAGACAGAAACTGGAGGGTGACTGGTCATGCCTGTCAATCACATCACACAAACACAAAGATCAGTTCACACTCTGAGAGCACAACATGTTACTGGATTAAGTGCTCTGAGCAGTGTGAGAGAATGTTAGTGATATGATCTATATTTTAACACTACGGTTCATGAGTGTGTGTGTTTTGAGGATAGAAATTGTTAAAAGAATGTAAAAGGATTTGTGTCGTAGTTGTTTGCACCCAGAGATTCATTTTCTAAATGTAATAACATTGATGGTTTAGTTTAGACCAATTTAACTAAAGTGGATAGTTTAGGCTAATTGTACTTTTAGGGGGCCATTTGTAAATATTTCCTGTTTTAATACATTTAATGTACAATGAACAGCTATAAAACAGCTCATTCCATATAAAAGATAGACCAAAATCATTTTCTTTTTTAATGACAAATGCTGTAAAGTAATATGATTAGACATCTATATATTAATTTATTTAAATAATACTATTTAAATAGAATTGTTTAGATTATTCACTTTTTACCTACTCAGTGGGAAAGAATATACACAAATGCTTTATTTGGTGAAGTAAACAGCCTCACAGAAAACTTGATTGATATTATTTCATGATATCCAACGTTTTTTGGTGTCTGTGGGCAGGGTCTCATATTCACATCCCACTGTAAAAACATTACTGAATGATGTTTGGTGGAGGGTATAGATTACAATACAGCCAGAAGTATTAAGCAAGATTGAATTAGAATTGAAATTGCTGAATCAGATCAAATTAAACTTAAAGCAAAAAAATCAATATTGCTGCATTTAGAATATAATTGAGAAGAGTTAATTTAATGTCTGCAATAGTTGTCTGTTTAACAAAGAACAAAGTCATAGATCAACATTGATTCAACATCAACAACATTACTGTAATCTTTATTACAGAAAGCTTTATTTAAAAACGTCTTTGTTTTAATGTCCTCCTGTAGATAACTAGTTATGTATGTGTGTATTTAGATCAATTTCCATTATCATTGTGGGTATTTAATGTCCATAACAATCAATAAACAATGTCTAAATGAAAATCTAAAAATGTAGGAAGGTTTATGTGAGGGTTTGAGGAAGGGTTAGGGGATAGAAAATAGCATTAGCTAATGTATATATATATATATATATATATATATATAGGAAAGTTCAACCATATGGAAAGTGTGTGTTTGCTGATGTGTGTAAGGTGTTGTGACGTCAGTCAGAGCAGAGAGAAAAGCTTGTTTACATAGACCTCTGTTATGACTCAAATGAGTTAAGAGGATGAAAAAAGCCAAACCAGTTACTGCATATGTGCGAGCATATGGGGGTTAATTAGTTAATATAGACTACAAAACCCATAACTAACTTGATAACCGTCGATAACCAATGATAGATGCACGCAAACCTAGAAAAAAGACAACACTGTGTTTAAACCGACAGTGTGTGAGCATTAAATAAGGACTGGGAAATTGATTCTTCAGCACTCTGTACCTGTGTGTGTGTGTTAGTGACATATCTTTTCATCAGTATATTACCAGCCGTTGGGAAGTTGATTCTACGTAGCTCCACTGGATCAGATGGATGCTGGGAACTCATGGCTTTACTGTTGCTGGGAAAGCTGCACTTCCTGCCCTCCAACTCTGCCCGCTTCCTGTAACATCACACGCGTAGGGGCATTAAAGCAACACTCACTTAGTAGGAAATAGTTTATATTGCATTTCGAGCATAATTAGATTTACAGAGAAACATAATACACAGACCTGTCTGGTTTGCTGGTTTGTGCACAGATAAAACGAGGGAAGACAAAAGAAATAAGGATTCTGCGTAAGTAAAATATAAAACATCTAGCATTTTTTTATTCCTATGCCTATTATCTTTTTTATCATTCAAATCAATGAATCATTCATGCCGATTTGTGAATAGTTCAAGAGATTCATTGAGTGAATTGATGGTTTCAAGTTTTACTCTACATAAAAGCAATATCTAACAGGTAAAATTTTAGATTTTAGAACATTTTAGAGCAGAGCAATGTATGTTAACTATGATTTTTCCAATTTAAATGAAAATTCTTTGATATTTCCACTGTAGGAACCCCAATTGATGTCATTTGATCTACGTTCACCTTTTCGAATTCTAAATTCCTTCTAAATACACTTTACTTCTCAATCTCACCTTTTAAAGAGGAGGATGAGGATGACAATGCTAATGATGAAGATGACAGCCAGCACTGGCCCAACCACCCACAGAAGCCCCTCCTCCTCATCTACGATTGGCTGCGGCTCAACATCGGAGAACAGCACGGCATCAGAGAATGGACTTGTGGAGTACACAGTCTGTCAATCAAGGATCAAACAGACAATTAGCATATTAGGATAAAAATATATACACAATTTTCTATATAAAATAAATATTAATAGAAAAAGAAAAGGTATTGTGAATACAGAGACAGCTAAAGGGTTGCAGGCACTGTACTCAAAATATAACATTGTTTTTATAAATGATTGCTTAAAGCTACACTGTGTGATTTTTACCCCCATCTAGCAGTGAAAAGGTATATGACCATCCAGTGAATATTAGTTTCTGTTCCTCTCAATTCCGATTTCATTTTAACTCCTACGGTGGCCAATGTAGTCCAAGATTAACATGGCTTCCAGTTCGACCTCGTCCATGAGTGGTAACTCAAACGTAAACGTGAAAGGCGAAGCTTGAATTAACGGGTATGTCCCTCTTTGGCTAATGTACTTTCAAGATGGAGGGGCAACATGACAACCGACATTAGAACCCCTTACCCGTATGTATTTTCAATGGCATATTATACACACACGAGAATACTTTATTACTTGAACGAAGTAAATATACATTAATGAGCACATATATTTTTGAAAGAACTAAGTGTTTTTAGCAAAGAATAAACTAAAAGAGTTACACAGTGTAGCTCTAAATATTGAATTGTAGACCTTAAAACATTCAACAAGAGAGAGAAAAGAAGGACTTACGTTCTGGCCCAGTTCAAGAATAGCCAGCACGAAGCACACATACTCTTGTCCGTTCACAAGCGGTCGGTTCATGAATGCTCCATACACACGGCCGTCTCCTAGTTTAAACTCGGCTGGAAGATTCTGGAAATAAGAACTGATGTATGCTTTTGCCTCCGCCTGCCTCCGAAGACGCACAGAGCGACCGGTGCCATTAATCTCCCTCAGTAGCTGGAGAAACCAGAAAACAGGACAAGCACATGACATGAGACAAGTTAACCACAACAGACACTGCTTTTCCACAGCCTTATGCTGAACCAACATGTGTTTAAAACTGTCAGCAAAGACAGTGAACGATTTACCGAAATATTTAAATTACGACATCAGCATTTCATTACAAAAATGTAGTACCTCATCAATGTTCATCTCATCTGGATCACTCCATAAATTCTGGAAGTTTCCTCCTCTCTGCCTCTTCAGAGGGACAACCACAATGTAGAAACCCCTTCAATTATAAACATGATATTATATTATTATGGGTGAATCTCATGAAGAAAAGTGTCTTTTCCCGCCCAAAATGACGGCAGTTAAATATTGTTTGCTTTGTGAAAATATGAAAAAATATTATTCAGATTACTGTAATAAATAATAAATATATATATATATATATATAAAATTAGCATAACCTTTTTTCAAATACATGCTGTTCTGAAGTTTCTATTAAACAGAATTCTGAAAAAAATTGTTTGAGTTTTCACAAAAATAACTTAATTTATTTAAGTTATTAAAGTATTAACAACTGTTTTTAGATAAAATAAAATATTTTGCAAACCAAATAAATTAGTAGCCTACATTAAAATGATTTCTGAAGAATAACGTGACACTGGAGTCTGGAGTAAGGCCTGCTGAAAATTCAGCTTTGCCATCAAAGGAATAAAATATATTTTAAAATATATCAAAATGGAATATATACATGATAATGTATAATATATTAACACTGTTATTTTAAATTCTATTTACTGTATTTTTGATCAAATCCAGCTTTGAGAGAAAATCTTTCTGACCCCAAACTTTTAAACAGTATAACATACATTATTCAGTTGAGTTTAAAATTCTGAGACATCACTGGAAATATGGAGTTCAATATCTTATTTAAAGCTGGAAATAAAGAGTTTCACAAATTGTCAGAAATCATTTTGAATATTTGAATCAATCTTTGGTGTTTTGCTGACCTGACATTAGCCTGTCCCTGGACAGCGGGCAGTTGTAGGGTAGCGATGCTTTGAGAGCTAGTCTTGTCCAGGAGCTGGGGTTTCTTGGTCAGCAGGTTTGGAGCGGTCATGGCATCTGCGCGGTGCTGCAAACCTCCAATGCCATCAGCTTTACTGGTCAACAAGAAGGTGTATAGAGACTGGGGCTTCAGATTAGTCACTAACTTCTGCCCGAGCCGCCCATCCACTTCCACACTTTCGCCATCACCATATGAGATCTGAGGGAAAAAGAGAGAATGGACTCTAAAGCACACCAGCAAAGACTATGAGCATGTTGTGACACACACACTCAAGAGGAAGGCAGAGTGAGATTAAGACTGACACCTCAGATACTTGTTAACATGCACACACTCACACTTTTATACCAACACTGTCATACACAATTCCACCTCAATATGTTGTGAAGGGTAGCAATGGTGGAACAAAACACACGCCCAACGTTTATTTTTATACTGAGTTAATAATATTGTCTATCACATAACCAAGCCATTATGGGCACCACAATATGACTTTAAATGATTTAAAATGAGAAAAAAAAACTGCTTTAAAATAAGATAAAACTGACATCCTGTTTGTTATTTTAACCATTTTTATAAAAAGAGCGGAGTTCCCGTGGTCTTGGAAAAACGGGATATACAGTACGAGGACAAGTGTGAAAAGTGTGATTTCTAGACATGGAAAATAAATCAAATCTTACAATAAAAAAAAAAAGGTTCATACTTAAGATTAGGGTCCAATTCTCACTATTAACTAAACATTTTGCCTCAATAAACTCCTAATTGATAACTCCTAAACAATAGTTAGTAAGATAGTTGTTAAGTTAAGGTATTGGGTAGGTTTAAGGGATGTAAAATATGGTCATTCAGAAAAAGGCATTAATATACTAATAAATAGCCAATATCCTAGTAATATGCATGCTAATAAGCAACTAGTTAATAGTGAGCATTGGACCCTAAACTATTGTGTTGTTGAAATGTCTATTCCGAATGTACATTTTTCGAGTCAAGTCAAGCTCTTAAATATTTTAGAGAAATTACTATTTTGAGTAAAACATATTTAAAAAAAAAAAAATCAAACATATGACAGGGAAAGTAATGTAAATGTCTTGCTTATAAAGAATGTGAACCATGAAAAAACATTCAGTTCTTGAAACTTCTAGAAATACTGAATTTAATTTGAACTTTAAACTGAACTTTATTTCGATAGTCCATTTTAGACATTCTACTAACTATAAGTAACTTTTCAACTACATGTCAACTAACTGTCATTAGAGTATTAGTAGACTGTCTGCTTAATATCTGCTAACACTTTATTTTGTTGGTCCCCAAAAGACATTCAACTGACTATAAGTAACTTGGCGACTACAAGTAAACTTATTCTCCTATCCCAACCATAACCTAACAGTCTACTGACAGTCTAATATAATATACTAATACTCTAATAACAGTTAGTTGACATGTAGTTGAAAAGTTACTTAGTAGATAATTAGTAGAACGTCTAAAGTGACTATCGAAATAAAGTTTAACCTTATTGTTTTATGTTAATATATTGCCACTACTAGTTTGTGTTAAGATGCTTGACAATACAAAAGGTCGGCAAAAGTTTACACAATACAAAAGCTGAAATATCTTCGTCTATATGAGAGGCTTTTGAAAATTGTCTTGGATTCTTTAAAGGTTGAGAACCAGTGCCCTAACTTTTTCACACATTTAGATTTTCAACATCAAATTATTTCATATTTATAAACTGCTTTCTGACACATGTGCAGACACATACGCAGTTTTTTGCAGTACTTACAATGAGAGATTGTGCTTTATTACTGGTGGTTCGTGGCTCCCAGGTCAGCAGTACAGAACTCTTCATGGCAGCTTTCACTCTGAAGTTCACGGCAAACACTATTAAAGAGAAATAGAACAAAAGATCAACACTTCATTACTTCAGCTCACCTGAGCAGAACCTCTAGCCTCCAGTATGAGCAGAACATCAAAGGATCTTTTCAACCGTTTCCACAAAAAACATTTACCACATCAGGTTGTTATCTACAAAGTGTGCACAGAGCCGAAAAGAGAGAAAAAAAAGAGCTAGTCACTCTTTTCTCATCCAGTACTCCAGATAAGAACTCGCCACTCTTTTCCAAGGGCTTACCTTTACCATCGTTGGAGCACTCCACGTATACCTAGACCCATTTTTAGAAAGATTCTCACCTTTTATCTGAGCTTAGTGAACGTCACCAAACAAGAGACTCAGACCAACAAAGACAGACAAAACTGACAAGACATAAACAAACAAAAAAAAACCTTCCAGAGTAAAGAAAATGTAGTGGTTTGGATTAGGAAGTGTTGCCTGACAGTAAATGTTTGTCTGTGAGGATATACAAGTGTCATACCTTCCTGTGCTGGTTGTGTTTTGATGGATACTGGGAGACTATACGCCCCAGGGCTGTGTTTGCTAAGCACGCACACTCTCGCCACATACTCAGTATTTGGCCGTAGGCCATTAAGAACCACTGTAGTCTCTGAAACGTCTGACTCCATGGCAATATCCGTGCCATTACTATAGGTGACAGCGAACCACACGCGGTAACCTTGGATCCGGTCATAGCTTCTAGGTCGCTCCCATCTCAGGATCACAGACGAGGAGTTGATGTTTTCAGCCGTTAAGTTAGCCAAAATTGGCAAGGTTTCCTGTATGCTCACATTTTGACCGTCCGTTGTCCCTGGGATTGTTACCATGTCATCTGTGGTTGTCTGCACCACGTTTGGTGTTAAAAATGTGACCTGAGCGCTTGAACCATAACCCCATATGGTACGGGCTGCGAGCCGGAACACATACAGCATCCCTGCACTCAAAGAGGAGACGGTGTAGGTGCGTTCCTTAGCGTCTAGCTCCTGCACCATGAAGGAGTCTGAGGTCGGGTCAGCCAGGCCATATGAGAGCCTGTAGCCCAGCACAGGAGACAGACCAGCAGGGGGAGGCTGCCATTTTAGTAGGGCAGTGCCATCTTCTGATGGCGAAACTGTAAGCAGGGGCAAACCTGGCACTGTGGAGTAGAGAACAATACTTTAGATCAACACTAAATGTATAGCGCTGTAGTGAAGTCATAATGTGTTAGGTTGAGTGAAATACTTGACTTTCTGGTTATTACAAAAGTTCACTCAAAAATAAGAATTTTTCTCACAGCTCCAAAAAAGACTTTCTTGCACATTTCACAAAAGAATACAGTGCTCTTTTCAACTGAATTGCACTGAACAGGGACCAAAGCTTTCATTCTTTGAAGGGGTCCTATTATGCTTTTCCACTTGAGTGCAATTTTGCTGTTTGAGTATAAAAAAGATCGGCAGTATCTACAAGGTTACGAAGCTCAAAGTCCCTTCCAAAGGGAGATATTTTATTTAACAGAATCAATTTTTTATGAACCACAACGAACGAGTTTAGACGTGATTTTTCTGGATCTTATGAAGTCATAATGTTTCTCATTTAAATAATCTCCGCCCACTGAGTACCCCAAAAAGGGGACGAGGCCTGGTTGAGCTGCATTAGAGAAGACAGTGTTGTCGCTATGTCAAAGAGATGCTGTATTGTCCACTCCATTTCCAAAGCTCATTTGTTTGACCTTCATAAGGCTTAACGTTTATCTGTGCGCAGCGCATTTTATGGAGAACAGCTTGTGTAAGCTCTCATTTTTGTAAGACGGTTCACTGCTCCTTAGGAGAATTAACCATGGTTTAGTGATCGATTACTGTTTGTATTACCTTGGTTTTCCAACAAATATCACTCTCTGAAACGTCCTGTGAAATCCGTGCTTGCAAAGTGCATGAAATTCATTATGCATGATTCTCGTTTGTCTGCAGTATTTCCTCTTTGTCGCCATCTCTGTTTGAAATCGCAATTGCAATCATTCGCAGAATTATCAACTTTACAAGAATTGTACTTCGACACGGCACAGTGTGGATGAACACAATGTTTGAGGAGACTGTAAGGCTGTCAGTCATCGCATTGATGTCGATACTGGCATTCAGGATCACAGATTATTATTTTTGGAAGTATGACCAACATTATAATTTTCACCAGAAAATGTCAAGTAAGAAACATCCACTTTTGTTCTGGTTCTGACATTGCAGTAAATTGCGCTGATTAAATCGAACAATCGCTTAACATATCACGCAAAACCGTGCAAATTATATTTTGTTCTCAAATTGTTCATGTTAACAACGTCAGCATTGCGTGACATAATGTCCTTCCGATATGTATCCTTGTTTTTGCATAGGTCCGGTTGGAGTCTCTTCTTTTTCTTTAGCCACTCTGAAGTCCGAACAAAGTCTTTTGCATTTTCCAGCAGGTGAATCTGTTGTCACTGGTGATTCTCGTTTGAACCTTTCTGGATCCACCATCAAATTGATAAGTTTAATTATATCAAGTGCTGTGAGAAAAGGCTATAAATCTCCACCTCCAACATCCTCACATGCAAAATAGTCTAATAGCTGAGACTCTTCTTTATGTGTACAGATGTGTGTGTACAGATGTGACGTAATGACACAAAGACATGCTTGAATCTCCCGCGGAAATCCACCACCACTAGAATTAAAAACATTATTACAAGCTTACCGCTTTTGAATCGAGCTACGGCAAGAAGATAGTTTTGAACACTGGCTGGTAATGTATTTTCTCAAATATGTATTTTGGATCATTTTTAACCCCAAAAAGCTATGGATTGTAGTTTGTCTGATTTTCTGATAAATAAATAAAACACAAAATTAGGGAGTTTAATCTTAAAACAAGAACAATAATCTGACAATGGGGTCGGAAAATAATCTTGTTTTCCCTTCTAGACTGCAGCTTTAACATTGTCAGGGTTTGAATCGCGCTCGAATTAGTCTGAAATTGACGCAATCATCAAGGACTCACAGATGTAGAGGGGCGGGACATTTCCTGAACACGCACAAAGCACTGCCAATCACAACACACTGGGCCAGCTAACCAATCACAGTACATTTTGTATTCCAGAAAGGAGGGGCTTAATTGAAAACGAAATTGTTCGAGGCAGAATGGGGAGAGCTGTAGTAATGTAAAATATGTGAAAAAATTATGTTTTTTTAACAATCAAGCATGAAAACATATTCTAGTATACCCTAAAAACTAAATCAAGACTTCATAAAAGGGAATAATAGGACCCCCTTAAAATGAAAAGACTCATTGAAATTGACTACAAAATGAATTCATTGGAAATCTTGACATTTACCATAGCTTTCCTTGGTATATTTTTAAGAGTGAATAAGAGAAGTAGTCCAGTTTGTTGACAGATAATTCATTTGAATCAGAATCGTTTGATCCGGTTCACAAAATCGGTCTGAATGATTTGTTTATGAATTGAAAAGTTTACCTCATGGACTCAAAATCCAGTGTTATTCACTAAAAATCTTGACATCTGCCATAGCTTTCTTTCAAGCATTTTTAAGTTAATACAAGTAGAATGAATCTATTGATCTGGTGCACAGAATTGGTCTCAATGATTCATTTATTAATCAAAAAGTTGAGCTCACACCTTACAATTTGAAACGTTCAACAGCTCACATGAGGGCAAGGGGAATTGTCATTAAAAAGAGCATAAAACTATTTTAAAATTTTCTCCTTTAGTGTTCTATGAAAAAAAGACTGGATTTGGAATTATATGATAAGTAAATGCTTTTCATTTTTGGGTGAACTTTCTATTTAACACTGAAAATAAAGTGTGTATACCAAAACATGAACGTGTATGTATGTGAGAGGGTGTACACACATGATGGTTTAGTTCTGATGACGATAGGCTTGCTGCGTGCTCCATCGCCTTTTGAGGTGAATGCAGCCACGGTCACAGAGTATTCAGTGTTTGGCCATAAATCGGTCAAAGTCAGGTCCTAATAAACACATGCACTTACTAAAACAATATTACAAAAAAAAAAAAAAAAATCAAAGAAACTAAATGTCCCATTTTATTTGAAATTCATTATTGAAAAAATCATCTTGATATACAGATTCCATTTTCCCCCACTTCAAGTATAGGAGCTGTACATGCCTATTGCCTAGATAAAATACAGCTGTCTGGATTGGAACATTACCAAGATGGCCGCAGAGTGAACTGATGTGCCTTAAAGGGACTTTGGTTTAAGTAAATGTATTAAAATTCATGGTCATGTTTAAAATAGTTATACTCACATATTGTTTCGAGTCATTCTGTGGCTGTTTACACACACACACACAAAGAAGTAAAATGAATTTGAATGCCAAGATGTAATATGATTATTTCCAACACAATGAATAAAGGTCTACTGAGAATAAATGGTGTGAAAGGTTCACTGGAACAATTACATAGTGGTTTTAAGGCTGTTAGATTCTAAGATAGTTATCGGAGGTTCTGTCTTAGCATGCGGATAAGCAGATACGGATGTTATCTGACGATTAAAGCAAAATGAAAGTCCATTTAGAGAGCATTAGCTGAGCTAAGAAGCCTAATTACTGACAAACAAACAGCTCATCCAGATCAAGAGATAGTTAGGATCTACATCGTGCCCTAGTATACAGTATGTGAGCGATTCTTCAATTTGTGGCACTACTTCAAACCATAATCCTATAACAGTAATTTATTCATAATTTATTCATGCTGCATTGAATGCTGTGAACTCAACCCTTAACATTTCAGCATTTGTTAAGTGCTTGACTAGTTGGTACTACATTTGGGCAGATTTTATTTATTTTAAACACTCAGAATTTACTGCTAGCTATAATTGTTGTGTTAATTAGTACATCCAACTTTTTCTCTAAAAACATAAAAAAGTCATTTCCATTACACAAAATATAAAAATTCACACATACCAAATCAACTTGATCAAATCATCATATCATTTTTTTTAAAGGTTATTATTAAAGCAAAGTGTCGAGGTCTATGTATTATATTCTAGACATCTTTGCTTTGTAAAGTAATCGTACCTTTAGAATTAAAGTTCACTTAAGATATTAAGTGTCCAATAGAACTATATATATGGCTAAAAAAATTATGTGGAATGAAAATGTGTTAAACAAGAAAATTTGATGAATTTATTGGTAGAATCATGCATTTTTCATTTAAAAAATTTAAATGGACAAAACGAAATAGTGTTACTAAGGAACATTTTCAAGATTTTTTTTTTTTTTTTTACCAAAAGTAAAGTTTACCAAAAACTTTAAAATATGATCTAATTTCTTATGAAAAGTCAAATTTAACACTTTTTATAGACTGACTGAAGACTTGTTTAAAAGTCAGAATAAGAAAACTACCATAAAACATTATTTTAAGACTTTCTAATGCGTGAATATAATTTTTATTTTATTTCGGAACATCTTGGTGTCAAAAGAGTGAAGTTGCGTGCCTTTGAATTTGGAGAGTCTTTGATTTTTGAGATCAAGAATTCATTATTTTCAAGCTGAGAACAACTCAAAAATAAACACCACATTTCTAAAGAACACATATATTCAGAAGTGTGTGTGTGTGTGTGTGTCCATGAGGTCTCCTACCTGTGGCTCTCTCAGTAGGTGTTCCCTAATTCTGGGAGAGACTGTTCTCTCCCCTGCTGTTCGTCTGGCGTATGTCACCTGGTAACCACGGATCTTTCCATGCTGTCGCTCAGCAACTGGAGGTTTCCATGACACTCTAGCAGAGGTGGCGTTTAAGACCACCACATCCACACCCCGCGGCGGTGCGCTGGGCACTAAAGGGGCATTTGAGTAAAGGACATATAGTCACAGCTGAACATTCCTTTCAGCTCACGGGAGAAGGACAAGGAAAGGCCAGGAAAAGAGGTATGGTACTGGGGTTCAATTATCTTGATAAATCCTTTGGGAAAAAGCTTTAGCCATGGAACGGGATCTGAACATGTTATCACCAGGGTGAATAAGACAAAAATGCAATTATTTTTGCATATGGAAAAATAATTCTGAATGAAGGAAATCCAAAGAGGAACTTGGGACTTCTCCAAGGCAAATGTTGAAGGACTTTTGGGAGAGGCTCAGCTTCAGGTCAAGGGTCAAATTAAGGCACTGTCACATACCGTCTTCCTCTGTGCGGACCAATATCGGTAGACTCTCAGGCCCTTGACCTGTGTCAGTGTGGGCAGAAACTGTCACAGAGTACAGGGTCCCTTTCTTCAGCCCCTCTATCCGGTACCGGAAACAGTTCGATGGGATGTTCGGTATCCTCTGCACGGGGTCATTCTCCCGTTCCACCGCCACATATCGAATGGAGTATCCTGTTATGATTCCGTTTTCATCTGTGAGGGGTGGAGCCCAGCTGAGCAGTAGACTTGTGGAGGAGGGGCTTATGCATGTGACTTCCTGGGGAGGGGAAGTGGACTCTGATTGGGTGGGTTTAATAGTGTGTGTTGAGGCAGCGGTGGTTAGTTTAAGTGTTGTTGTGGATGATAATGTGTGGAAATGAAATGAAATCAGAGAATGAAAAAAAAAGACATAAAAGGACAAAATTGACACGTAAAATGTGGTGTTGTTGTCACACACAGGTCAAATAAAGCCAAGACATCAAACTGCAAGTGATCGTTCACGTATGGTGAACTGAAATGAAAAACGAATACACTCAACGTAAAACTTACTTGTTTGACTCCCTCTTTCCAGATGATTGTCATTGAGTGTCTCATATTCTTACCTGCTCTTTACACTTCACTAAATTTTCAATAGCCTAACAGCGGTTTACCGTATCTTTCCCAGACAACTTCTAACCAGAAGCGTTGTGTGTCATGTCAGAATCCAAGTCTTTACAGCCGAGTGAACAAAGGCAATGAAAAACACGCTTTCTTAAACTGTATTCTCTGTCTAGAGTGAAAAAAAAACTGATTTGTTTAAGGAATCAGTTCATACTGATTGATTCAGTGAGTATGCAAGATACATGACATGTAATTTGGGTAATGCAGCTGATTATCACTATGTTTCTGATACAGTTATTATTTAAATAAATAAAATCTAGGTGTTTTATTAGCTGTATTTAAACTCTTTAATTAAATAAACTCTTTAATTTAATGATTCTGTTCAAGATTAATGCTGTCACCCTATTTGAGTCAAAAAAGATTTTTTTAAAGATCCACTACCATTCAAAAGTTTGGGATCGGTGAGACTTTTTAATGACTTTAAAAGAAGCCTTTTATGCTGCATTTACAGTACAGTAAAACAGTAATATTGAGCAATTTAAACAGTTTTCTATTAGAATATGTTTTAAAATGTTAAATGTTTATTACTATAACTTTTGAACCTATTGCCATGGATCAAACGATATTACAGGCCATAACAAAATCATATTTTCTGTAAAAATGTCTTACATACATAGCTTAAAATAATGATTTCTTGTTGTTTGAATAAGTTAGTATATCATTGTGAAATCAAAATATTTTATTTTACTTTAGGTAATATTTCATTTATTTTATTTATAAAAGCCCCAAATAGTCATTTTCCTATTTGTACAACATTAAATTATTTAAAAATAACTTTTATCTTATAAAATTGTGTTTATAAATCCTGTGTCAATTACGTTACCGCACCAAACTTTGCCTTTAAATTGGTGGAATTATCTCCCACAACTATGTAAGATACAGGAAATGATGTCACTTTCCCACTGAAAAGTATGTGTGTGTTCTCTCTAAGAATATATTTTAATCTAAAAAGTACTAGGCAAATTATTTTGTAAAACATAATATCAAAAGGAAACGAGATTTTATCACTGATGATCACACAGTAACGAAGTTGACAAACAATACTATAAAGAAATCTGTATTTTTATAAAAGGAAGTAACTTATGTTTGGCAAGCACTGAATTATTAAAATTGAAAACGTTTTCAATAAGATACTGGAACAGTTTTTTTTCCGTAACTTTCTAAAACGTAAAATGTAACTCCAATTATAGAATCACTCATACGTGTCTGTGGAGTCTGAACGGTGATTTCACTGGTGAATGCCCCCAGGCCGTGTTTACTGCGCGCTGCTAGTTGAAATATGTAGGTGGAAAACGGCTTCAGATTCTTCAGCAGATAACTGGAGCTTGGATCAAATGATATTTTCTGGAAGATAGAGGTGTAAAGGAAACAGCATTAAACCAGACACCACAAAATGAAAATGTTGTATGTGTGTGTCTGTGTGCATACCTGCTCTGGCTGATCTCCAAGCCTGTAAATGAGCTCATAACCAGTGATGGCATCTGTGCCGCTGTGAGCAGGAGGGATCCACGACAGAAGAATGCTAGTCTCTGATTTCACCTCTGCCTTCAGCTCTGTGGGCTGGGATGGGACTAGAAAAGAAAGGAGGCAAAAAGACAATGCTTAGGGAATGATGCAACCGGAACAAAATAAGCTGCAATATTAGAATCTATAAAATAATCCCAACTTCACAAACTGCACACCTCCTGTCTTGGCAATGATGTGCAGATCACTGGAAAGAGGTCCATCTCCGACTGCGGTAAAGGCAAGCACTCTAATATAATATGTTTTGTTGGGTGTCAGGTCTCGTATGTTTAAAAAATTAGCCCCTCGAACCATTTCCTTCTCCCATTGGCTCACAGACAGAGACGAATCCGACGTGTAATACACCCTGTACCCAACCACCTGACCGTTGGCTTCCTCTGGCTCCTCCCACTGCACCATCGCTGTGGAACCACTCAGCATGCGACCTCTGACGCGACGAGGAGGGGAACTAGGCGCCTGTTCGGCTGTGCGAGCTTCCACGGTCTGACTTGGTGGGCCTCGGCCAATCGAATTCACCGCCATGACCCGGAAATGGTAGTGCGAGTAGGGGCTGAGTCCACCCACGCTGTAACGAGTTGTTGCTATGTCATCAATTTCTTTAAAGGAGTCGGTGGAGGAGGCGGGACGATACTGAATAATGTAATAAGAAACAGCAAGTGGATTTCCACTGTCCCACATCAGAGTAATGCTGGTGGCAGATCGCTCCATGACAACTGGAGCTCCCGGAGGATTGGGGAGGGCTATGGAGAAGGAGAGAAATAAATTAGGGAAAATTTCTACAAAGATTTACAAAAAAAAAAAAAATCTATTTAAAATTAATAGTATTTTAAAATAAATACTTGATATTCATAAAAGAATCATGAAAAAAATGCATCACGATTTCCACAAAAAAAATTAAGCAGCACAAATGTACTGTATTATAATATAATATAATATAATGACACTGAAGACTGAAGTAAAAAAATTATTTAAAAAATTTTAAAATTCATAATATAATATAATATAATATGACACTGAAGACTGAAGTAAAAAAATTATTTAAAAAAATTACAAATTAAAAAATATAATATAATATAATATATAATATAATATAATATAATATAATATAATGACACTGAAGACTGAAGTAAAAAAAATTATTTACAAAATTTAAAAATTTTTAACAGGAATAAATTACATTGTAAGATATTTAAAAAAAAAAAACATTTATTTTAAAATTGTAATAGTATTTCACAATGTTACAGTTTTGATGTATTTTCAAATAATTGCAGCCTTGTTGAGCATAAGAGAATTCTTTCTAAAAAAAAAAAAAAAAAAAATCATACCAACCCTAAACTTATGAATAGTAGTGAAAAATAAAATTACTTTAAGAAAAATGTAAATACTATTTAACTATTGTCATTTGGTATCATGGAATTGCACGACATTTGATAGCATTTAAAGGCATTACAGACGTTCCTAATGCAAAGGTTGTAACAAAAGATAGACAGCAGTTATACTGCCTCCTATATAATAGCTAATACTTGCCAAATTCTAAAGCAGAAAAGCCATTTTTATGCTTCTTTCAGCTTGTTTGCTTAAAAAACAATCCTTTTGAAATCAAACGTGTTTGATGTGTACTCAGAGTGAGTCATAGCCTATTATGAAGAGTGTTCCAAGTCATTGACTTATATGAGGTTACGTTTTAATTAGCCAGGCAAGACACAGCAAGGTTTTGGAACAACCATCAGCCCCCCTGCTTCCTCAATATTGGCTCCTCCTCTAGAAATGATAGTTTAACTAAATGTTTTTTTTCTTTCTTCAATAACATAAGGCATTTTCTTTGAGAGTCTTTTAACATCACTCCTGTGTACCTTTGACTGTGATCTGGGCAACAGTTTCAATAACTCCAAGAGTAGACATTGCCACACACGTGTAGTTGGCAGACTGGCGTACATCTGTGAGCTCCAAAACATTTCGTCCAATAGGCATGTCATCTTCTGGTGTCAAATCCTCGGCTCCCAGCATCCACTTGACATATGGCATGGGAACACCCACTGCCTGACAGGAGATATTCACACTTCCTCCCGGCATGATTTCATAATCCATCGGTGGCACTGAGAACCGAGGAGGGATGCGACGCACTGAGGGTGTAAAAGACAGTGAGCCGTTTACTAACTCATGCTAAAGACATTATTAATGCTACGGAGAGCGCCACTTAATATGATACGCCCTCAGGGTGTTGTACGCTACAGGTTATTAATGTGCTTTGTAGAGAAGAGAGAAGTATAAGAAGTGACTGTGTCACCTCTTTAATGGATCAAACTATGCATAATTGTTATCAGGTGACTATATACTAGAAGAAGCCATCGAATATGTGTAGAAATGTTGTATAAAGAAAATAAACCACCAAACACAGCTGCCTGTGATAGAGATATGCACATTAAAAAGTGATATGCATTTTTTATGCTAAAGAACTGTATTTGGCATTTCAAAGTACATATTCTACAGTTTTTTATCATTTCATCATGTCATTTTATCAAAGCAAATCTATCCTAAGACTAAAAGTATAATATATTTCATAAATATAATAAGGTCATATATTTAGTACAATACATCTCCAATTACCCAAGCATTAAATAAAAAAAGTATCTCTCAAACTGGTATCTTTTTATTTTTTATATTGGCTTTTACTAGCTGGTTTATGAAAATGCTAATAACAAAACTGGGATGCATTAGTAATCCCATTTTTTGGAAATATTTTTAAATGATGGTCCTATAGATTATTTCTCGTCATTTCATTGAGTCCAAGAAATATATTTTATATTATAAATTTTACTTTCAGAATAAAATTCCCACACTTTTCCCTGCTTACAAATAGTGAAAATAATTAGTGGAGCAAAAGTATACAGTTTACTATTACAAACACACAAATACAGTAACCTAGGATGAATGTATGAAACAAATTGTACATATGATTACATGGTATTACTATGATATCATTTTCTATCAGCATAATATTATGGAATGCAGTTTAGAAGGATCAGGTAAAATGTGGCAGATTAGTGTCAAATGACATATGCAGTATTAGGATCTGGAATGTGAGTTAGTCTGTCCGGAGGGAGGGAATCCCAGTGGAGGGGAAGGATTATGTACAGTAGATGTGAGGGTCTGAAACTCAGATTAGAGTAAGACACAGAGCACTGATTTGAAGAGCACTTACCATCTCTTAATTCTACGCAGGAGTCCAGCGGTGAGACGTGAGCCAACAGGGAGAAACAAACAAACAATGACAACATGTCTAAGGTATGTAAGAGGCAGGGCCGTAACCAGCAAAGGCATTGAGGGGGACAAGTATTTAAATAGAAATGGACAAATTGCCGTCCCACCCCCCACAATATATAATATTTCTTAATGGTGCTCTCCATTACGCCCTGCTTTGTTTGTTGTTAGGATGACAGAAAAATTAAAAAGTGAAATTCTTAGGATGGTCTGCCTCAGTGGTCTAACAGCGCTTGTCAATGTCAAAATGATGGCCAATCAGATCAAAGAAGGCGGGGCTTACTAGTATTCATTGAGTGTGAATTCCAACGCAACACTTTTAGTTTTTACAGTGAAAGGGTGTGTGCGTAATAAGATACAAGTAGCTTAACATTTAATAATTAACAACAGATGTATGTTTAATGAACCACAGTAATAGAGTGCCGAAGTTACGACGTCAATTTGTAGGTCAAAACGGAAGTGAGTTAGCATTTTAGCACTTCCGCTTCCCTTGCCCTAAAGTCTATGGGATTTTTTTAATGGGTTTTTGCTAAATCGCCTGAAATAAAGTCTGTGGTTAACAAAGCCTCTAAATATTTTCACGGTTTGATCTGACATAAAACACACTAGTTATAACCTGCTTGTATTTTTTTTTGAACTATATTGTGTCTGCTTGTGTTTTTTTAAACTTTATATAGGCTTCAAAATGTATAAATTTTGGATTAACTTGTATAGATTATCTTGATAGATAAAACGTGTAAGGGTCACAACTCTTTGTTGGACAGAGATCTTATTTTTAGCGATTTTCCAAAAGTCTATGGGAAAAAATACATAGTATTTTCGGAAGCTAGCAACGCCGCTAGCTTCCGAGTTGTCCAACAAAGTGACGTCATCACTTCGGCACTCTATATACAGTGATGCAAACTTCTCAACTTCTTTACTTCAATTACGGAAATTTGAATTGAAAATAACTGAATGTGACGAGACATTAACGTTTTTACATATTAGACATTCAAACAAGAGTGAATGTGTGCATATTTTGAAATAAAAAATTATTTGCAAATCTTCTAAATGGATTACTTCACAACTATATTGGCTACAATTAGACCCGGAACTTCTTTTACCATTTTCATTTCTTCTTTACTCACTTGAATTCATTTTAATCCTTTAATTATTTAATTTCTTTAAATGAAAAAACTTTGTTTCCCCACAGTGTTCAAGACATGGTTACGACCTTAATAAGAGGAGATGATCTAAGAAGAATCAGACAGATCAGACTACAGAGATTTGCTTTGACATGTATCTATCTATTCATAAGAATGTGTAGTTACAGGTTAAAAAATGTTATTCTACAGCTCTCAAATAAGTAACTCAAAGCTGTACCTCTGACGTAAAGGTTAGCTGGTGTCGAGTAGCGCGTTCCTTCACTGTTGGTTGCGACACACTCGTATTTACCCTGATCAGTTTCTTCACTCTGATCAATCTGAAGAGCACCTGGATACATATGCACATATAAAGGCAAAACATTTACAACACAACGACACGTGCACATACTTTGTCACCAGACGAGCCCAGTCCTTGGGATGGAATGTTCCATATTCTGTACAAGTTAAGCTCTATCGACAATATCTATGGCATGCATCACAGAAAATAATTTAACTCACCAAACAAAGACATTTTATACTGTATATTGTTTTATTTAAGTCAATATAGGCCTACTTACTGTAATGTCACGTACTTTTCACAAAGTCAGTAAGAGACATATTAATTTTTTTTGCCAACTTCTTGGTTATGTCTTGCATAACCAAATTATTAGTCGAATCATGTGTCGGAAAAAAGTCTAATATAAAATTAATGAAAAAAAAGGAATTAATTTATAATTTTAAACTAATTTATTAAAAGAAAATTATAAATCCTGCACAATACTGTATATATAAAAAATTTATTTGCAACGATTCGGTCGGTCGACCTTTCCCGGACTTGCCTTGCCATTACTGTACACACAATTTCTGTTTGTTTTCACAAACTAAGGGATTAGTAAAAAATTATTTTCCATGGAAAATCGAAAGTATGTCACAGATGCTGTCCATAGAGCTCAACAATTTTGTTAACTGAAACTTATGCCAACACCACAAAAACTGGGTGTAATGTAAATATCAGGTCAAAATTACAGTGGCCAAGAGAGTTAAAAAACAACATCTTCAGAGTATTTAGAAAAGCTAAAATACTAAAATATTGCCTTGATAACTCAAAAACAAAGCATTCAAGCAAATGTTCTTACCAAAGAGAAACAAAGCAAGTCAAGTCTCCTTCAATAATTTTTTTTTTTACAAGTAAATATTAAAGGTGCTCTAAGCAATGTCAGGTGACGTGACTTCTTGTTGACGTTTAAAGTATTTTCAAACAAAACGGAGGCTAGATAGACCCTCCCTCCTCCTCATCTGAGCACTGACCCCCCCCAAACTCCACCCCCAGAGCCTTCTTGTCAGTAATTGGCTGGAACAGTTTGTTATGTTTCATGGAGCGGGTTGCCGCAGTTTGTTTTTGTTGCCATTTGTGGAGCCTAGGTTGTCTGCATAGACCACGTTTTTTACAGTGTGTTTAGGGGACAGGCAGCTAGCAGATAGTGAGGAGATGTTTGCTGTATGTGACAAAAAATGTTTTGGCCTAAAAAACGTGTGACATCGCTTAGAGCACCTTTAATATTTAGATATAGACATAGACAGACAGAAAATACTCCAAAAAGAGACACAACATTGCTGTTGCACAGCATGTAGAGCAGCCGGATACTAAAAAGGCTTCATTAAAAAGACAAGATAAAAATAATAAAATGCCTGATTTATCATCCAAGTAGAAATTTCTAGCTGAAAAATGAATTGATGTTTAATTAGCGAGAGAAATAAGTGAAAAGGTCAGCAGATGGATCAGAAGAGCATGGGAAAAACAGCAAAAGCAGGAAAAATGTTTTAATTGGAATTAATTAACATCATTTCAGAAAAATATCAATATTTTCTGTAATGTTAGTTACAGTAAAATTAGTCACAATAATGACTGACAAAAATAAATAAATTTGGTCTATATTTTCTCAATATATGAAACGAAGTTCAAAATATGTGACCATACTGCTGAGAGCAAAGTTTTGATAAATATGTAAATACATGCTGCGCGCTTTCCTCTCAATAATAAAAATAAAAACACAATGAAATTGACACAGCAAGCATTTTAATAAAGCATAAGAAAAGTTTCTGATCATAGCAACGTGGATATGTTTGCACAAGCTCTGCAATTAGGCACTCTAGTAAAGTTACGTCACGTTTATTTATATAGCACTTCACCCATTTGCATTACGCTTTGTATCTTTAGAAACCCAGTCATATTTTTGAATGGTCTTGGTTTATTCCCTTAGGACGTGTGTCCACCAAAGCGTTTTTTTCACGCGCCTGGCGCATGTTTTCAATTGTTTTCAATGGGAGTGCCGCGTTTTTTTTAAACGCCATGAGCGTAACGAGGCGCTGAGCGTTTTTTTCACGCTGAATCGCCAAGCGCCCAGCGTTTTTTTACTGGTCGCTGAGAGTTGTAAATGTAGCGCTCATCACTGTCAATTCTTACCCAGCCGTCCAATCACAGTGGAGGAGGAGCGGGACTAAACCACACTGACCAACTGTCACAACATTCTTTCTTTACAACGGCATCAACCAGCAGAGCTAACTGAACAAAATGGATGAAAAATATTTTTTTAGTATTAAACAAATTATCTGCGAAATCAGTTACAAGTAAACTGTGCTGCGGATATTCTGTATCATAGCAACGAAACGTCTCAACGGAAAAACACTATGCTGACAAAACGCTCTCAAGCGCCCAAAGCACAGCATCTTCAGCAGAGCGTCTAGCGTTTTCAGCTGGCAAAAAAACGCTTTGTTGGACACACAGCTTTATTTTTACCCTGAGATGGGAAAAATAAAGATTTAAGTGTTTTTCTTCCTGCTTATTATGACGTAAAAAATTTGTCATTTTGCATCATAATAAGCAGGAAGTCACATTTCATTGAAGTGTCTAGAGACTACAAACTTTAGCTCCTCATTATTCAAGGGTGTGGGACCCACTCACCCTACAGGCCTATTACAGATCAGTGGGTGGGACTTCACCTGCAGATACTGAATCAATATCCGCCATCTTGTTTGGAAGCTAAGCTAACAAGCGCTGTGGAGACAGGAAGTATGATAATGACGGAAGAAACTAAATATGATATGGAAGAAGAGGATTTTGAAATTCTGCTGCTTGAATCTGATGTTCGTGGCTATATTTTTAAGCCGCAGTATAGGTTAGAGCAGCTGAGGCTGATGGAGGAACAGGAGGCGGCTGCCTGTCGCGGACAAGGAGCCCGGACTGGCTCGAGTTGAGGCGGACTGCTGTGCATGTGCTCGCGGAGGAGTTCGGACTGGCTCGAGCTGAGGCCGACTGCTGGTGCCCGTGCTATCGCTGCATGCTAGACACAGATAGAGTCCGTCTGCTGCAGAGAATTTCAACGATGGCAATTTCTCCTGAACGAAATCTCTGAATCAGACGAGCACACGGACGTTTGTGTTGTGATGTGAACCATCCTAGTTTCGCCTGACTGAACATCCAGGTATCATACAGTAATTCACCATATAGAAATAAATACAAACGAAGAGTAATTCACTCATGAGTTTGCCAATGTAACGTTAACGGGGTTCGTTGTTGTGGGAAGAAGGAGGCAGAACCGGCGAACATTTCATCATTTTAATAGTAAAATGTACAAATACTAGGGGTGTAACGGTACACAAAAATCACGGTTCGGTACGTACCTCGGTTTTAAAGTCACGGTTCGGTACGTTTTCGATACAGCAAAAAGAAAGAAATGCCAGAGAAATTTCCTATTTGTTTAAAGAAAAAACATTTTTAAATAAGTGTGAGTTTTCCTAGATCTTGAAACTTTCAGGTTTATAAATGGGGGTCATCTTTGAAGGATGAACAAATAATGTTTTGGTCATCACATTAAAAATAACATTTAAATATATATATATATATATATATATATATATATTTATATAATATTTGAATTTTGAAATGCTGGAAAAAGATGTGTGAAGTACTTGAAAGCATTTCACCATTCCAGCCAAACTGGTTCCAGTTAGTGTTATATTAAATCCATGGTGAATGTTGCTGGTCTGTGGATGAAAGTATTACTAGTTCATTCACGGCTCAATGTGTTTCTCCTGGTTTCCATGACAGCGCTGTTTGATCTAATAGAGATCTACGGTTAATAACGGAGAAATGGGAATGCTTCTCACTAGATCTCGCAGCGATGTTATTACCTCAGTGGCGAATTCAAATGTTTTCTTTACTGGATCTCTTAGCGCTGTGTAGTAACAGTGTTGCTTGATCGAGATCGGCTCGCGCTGCACAGATGTTGCTGGTCCGAACTGATAAACGATCCATGATGAAGCACATAACGAGTAGCGCAGTTTCGTTCTGCTTTCATTACGCTTGCCATTTGATGTTGCGTCCTGCTCACCCCAGCCAACTAACGAGAAATTTTGTGTGAAATGAATTTCAAACTCTGGTGACAGCTAATGTTAGCCTTGTAGACGGAAGAGTGATTTCTCTGTTTGCGTTGTTCCGGATTAGTGGGTGTGGCTTGCGGAGATGTGCAATGTGGTGCATTGTGGGAGTTGTTGTCTTACATACAAATGCGTCCCTCGGTTATTTTCTGTCTTTTCTCGGTCAGGGCACCAAATTGAAAAATTCTTTTACATTTCGACTACACATATGATCCACTTTCAATACAGATTAATGCTGAAATGGGTGAAATGCTCCTTTAACATCAAGAAATACAACTTCATTTTCATCTATAAAAGCAGCTCTCCAGTGTGTTCATGTTTTTCTAGTGGAAAACCAGAAAAGATGAGAAAGAAGGCGGAGCCTCAGTGCACACCCAACTATACCAGGCGTATAAAACTTTTCCGGAAAGTTCACTTTGGTAAACTGTTTTGATCTCCCAAAACGAACTCCAAACCAACTTCATTTCATCACATCAGTTCATTCCTCGACTTCACTTGAAGTATATCGAGGCCTTAAGTCATCTCTGATATCTGCTACTACTCTATTTATCTACCTCGAAAGGGATCCCATCAAAATTTTATATTCCAAACATTTTTCCATGGCAGTTAGCTTTGAACTTGTTTAAATGCTAGGCACTTTTAGAGGATATACACATTTTAAATGTATAGCCTTTTGGGACAACAGGTCAAAAATAAAAAATGACTCATCTATCAATTTTTGCTTGAAGAATTTGATAGCTAGAATGAGAACATCCTTCCTTTTATTACCTCATATAAACGTTTTAGAGATAAGCCTTTCAGTATGTCCTGTTCATGCTTCCTTTTTCAATAGCTAATACATCACCACAAGAAAGAAAACTGCATCAGACAATGCCATGGGGCCTTTAAAAACCACATTGCACAACCACTAAA